AGTGTCTAATGGGACGGTTGTGATGGGAACCAACTGGACTTTATTAGAATTGGATTACCGCCCTGTCTAAGCGTTAGTGGATAGCTGTGGTACTATTCTAGTCACCGTGGCGTGACGTCGTGTTCAGTGATTAACGCCTCTTATAGGACCGCTGTGGTACTAATCTGATCGGGGGATAGTACGACGGGATTAACACTAAGACTGATGGACGGGCAGTTGTTTGTGTGAGGGGAAGACGGATTAACACCCGCTACAGTAAGTCAGACGTCTTAAACTCTGTGTTGTAGGCCATCTGACACTTAGACGTCGGCAGACGTGTGTTGTATCTGACAGTTAGACGTCTTTAGACGTGTGTTGTATATTTAGGTTAGACGTCTTTAGACGTGTGTTGTATATTTAGGTTAGACGTCTTTAGACGTGTGTTGTATCTGACAGTTAGACGTCTTTAGACGTGTGTTGTAGGCCATCTGACACTTAGACGTCTTTAGACGTGTGTTGTATATGTAGGTTAGACGTCTTTAGACGTGTGTTGTATTTGACAGACGTCTTTAGACGTGTGTTGTATCTGACAGTTAGACGTCTTTAGACGTGTGTTGTATCTGACAGTTAGACGTCTTTAGACGTGTGTTGTATCTGACAGTTAGACGTCTTTAGACGTGTGTCGTATCTGACAGACGTCTTTAGACGTGTGTTGTATCTGACAGACGTCTTTAGACGTGTGTTGTATCTGACAGTTAGACGTCTTTAGACGTGTGTTGTATCTAACAGTTAGACGTCTTTAGACGTGTGTTGTATCTGACAGTTAGACGTCTTTAGACGTGTGTTGTATCTGACAGTTAGACGTCTTTAGACGTGTGTTGTATCTGACAGTTAGACGTCTTTAGACGTGTGTTGTATCTGACAGTTAGACGTCTTTAGACGTGTGTTGTATCTGACAGTTAGACATCTTTAGACGTGTGTTGTATCTGACAGTTAGACGTCTTTAGACGTGTGTTGTATCTGACAGTTAGACGTCTTTAGACGTGTGTTGTATCTGACAGTTAGACGTCTTTAGACGTGTGTTGTATCTGACAGTTAGACGTCTTTAGACGTGTGTTGTATCTGACAGTTAGACGTCTTTAGACTTGTATCTGACAGTTAGACTTCTTTAGATGTGTTGTATCTGACAGACGTCTTTAGACTTGTATCTGACAGTTAGACGTTTATATACCTATATCTGACTGTTAAACGTCTTTAGACGTGTGTTGCAGTAAGTCACTAGAGTTCATGTTGTGTCGTGGTACGTGTTATGAATTAATGACATACTTATCTGCTAGTAATTTAAGTATTTCGCTGAAGATATTCGTTCGAAGATATTTTATACGAGGTGCTGTTGTGTTGTCACAGGTAGTTGTTGTGCTATGAGATATATTGTCCCTAGCATCTGATAAGTTAGGTGGACTTGGGAGTGTCTCCCCCCCCCTCCCAAGACCGTTTTTTTTTGTTATGCTGCAATGTACTCTTTCTCTAGACCACGCCTCCTCTGACTAGCATGAATGTGCTATAAATAGTTCAAATAACGTTTCAATAAAACACGATGACTTGGCGAGTTGGGATAGCCAATCGTTGTTTTAGAAAGTTATCTCTATCCCGATAAACAGCAGATTGTTGATTAGATTCCAGAACATTCTCACGTGGACCGGTATGATGTTGGTTGAGGTGGTGGGGTAGAGAGTCTGGGGTGGGGGTCTAGTATCTACCCCCACCCACAACATTGTGTTACAACCCTCCGTATCACACTGACCGATCTAAAACAACCAAAAACTCAACCCGACATCTCTACCTCGGCTGGGTTGATACCACTACGTCTTATGAAACACGCCGCACCAGACGTACGTTTTATCACATTGGTTCTTAAATTTCTCTAATTTTGTTTCGGTTCTTATTTAACTCCTTGTTTTTTTCTCTCATAAACTTTCCAGTTTTTTTTTGCCTGACGGGAATTTAATTGACACAAACACCGATACACTACACGTCTGATAACATTTATCTTATCAGTCGTTTAATACTCTTGGATGTTATCATGCATTAAAAATTAAATAAAAACTACGCACGCTAAATACTCTAACCTTGAGAATTTGAATATCAAAAGTTCAAGGTCCATTAATGGTTATTGCTCAGCTGTTTAAAAGGAAAACATTTTTAGTGCTGTATTTGACGTCACTACTCAATAATAAGTCGTCTTCCTTTAATTCTATCACCCTGTAGATATACTGTGGTTAAAATCGTGAATGGGTGCCCTTTTAACTGAAGCCCAATTGATGTGGTTTACGTTGCTCGTGTAAGGAAGGAGACTTGAAGATATAATGGACGCAATTACAATGACATTGATATACTTGAAATGCCACTCATGTACAAGGCATGTCGTTGTTGTACCTGCCATGTGTCATTGATGTGTCTGACATATATGTCATTTATGTACTTGACATGTCGTTGTTGTACCTGCCATGTGTCATTGACAACAGATCTTATTCCTGTTAAATGACACACTTGTATATGTAACTGATACACTTGTATATGTAACTGATACACTTGTATAATATGTGCACAACCGGAAGTGAACCAACCGTGGCTTAAAATTGACGAGTGCAGTTATTGTTGAGTTAAATATAACCTTATGCTACCGTCAGCAACTGCTAGAACATAATTTAACTCACATATAATATAGACCAAAGCTAGAACCCTAAAACCGTTTTATTCAGCCATCACAGTCGATGTTATGACAAGTCAACTAGTTGTTATATTTCTGCCTTGTGTGACATTTATACATACTCCCCCCCCTCCACACACACACCTCAACCACCACACACATTGAGAGTACAAGGTACTCTAATCAGCTAATTGTCAGCTGGTAGTTATGGGTTGTTTCCCTTGTCACGGCTGACCTTCACTCACACACAGCCAACTTTCATTTTCTGATGGTCTGCAGTCCATCTCGGTCATGTTGGTAGGCTGTTGTGTCTGTCTTAGTATCTGCTTTTTTGTCAGTTGGGTGAGGGTTTGGACTTATGTTAGGGTCTTAATATTTGTGCTAAATGAAGACAATTTATGATCTGATAAGGGTTTCTTTCAAGCTTTTTCTCGGGGGGTGGGAGGAGGGCTGTTATTATTATAATTTATATTTTCCAGGTATTTTCTATGTAAATTCGTTTTTGTCTGGGGTTGGGGTTGAGATGGGAAACGGCGGTAGACGTTCTCAGTTGTTTGAAAGAAACACTGACTTTAAGAAAACCGTCTGTAAATCAAGTGGCTCTCCCGATATTTAAGTTTCATGTAATTCACTTCTCTCTCGCGTAGCAAGGCTAGACGACTTTACCAGCAGCACGCGTCAACACATGCTACTGTTTGTTGACTTCCGGTTGCGCATATAAACAAAGCACTCCCCCCCCCCCCCCCTGTTGTTATTTGTAGCCTCTGTCTCGCGGTGTCACGTGTCGCCTGAACACAGCAAACCTTTTCCCCGCATGTCAACAATGGAGTCGCTCCGTCACTTTACATTAGAGTTACAGCCCTTAGCTGAGCCTCAAGAAAAAAAAATTACGTTTTGTTAGGGTCAAAAGCTTTGCGAGCTAGGCAGTTTTTTTTTGCAGACGTAAAAAAATGACGTAACAATGTCACAAGTTGCGTGCTAATTATAATGTAGGTTTAAGACCTCTAATCCACTACGGCCCAGTTTACTGTGTGGTGTTTTAGACAAGCAGAAAGCGCATGTTGTCCAGAGTTTAATGTAAGCATGAGGTGTTATATTGAGTTTACTTGCTTCAAAATTTGATATTAAAAAAAACGCATGTCATTGCTTGACTAATCTTGACTACTTACAGGTAAGTTAGATAGCTGAATCAGTTTAAAAATCCGCTTTTCTAATGTGTGGGTCATCTTCAAAAAAGTTTACATAAGGTAGCATGTCCAACTCTTCAAGAGTAGAGGAAGCAGAGTACATCTGCTTTAAGAGCCCGACGTCTTAGGAAAGGTTGTAAAGTTAAGGTAATCGTTTATACTTACCAACTCATAGGGTTAGGTACTCATTAGAGCTGGGTGGGCTCAGGGTAGTTACAAAGATAATAAGATCTATCACCACGAAGATTTGAACTAATTTCCACGGATTTCTCACCTGCAAGCTTTGTTACTCAACCACACCGTACATTGGATTTAGCTGTGTTCTAAAAATAGATTGGAGGTCGAATGATGTGGTCGTTTTCATCGGCATGATGATGTGACGTCATTGCATCACGGACTGTTTAGGCTAGTGTAAGTGTGGGCGCCGCCCTACTGCTAATTAATTAGGCCTTGATTAACGCCAGCTGTTACGGCAGAGTCCAGTGCCGAGTGGGCTGATTGGCAGTTCGGTGTTGGTGGATGTAATCAGATGAGGTGATGGGCCGTCACAGCTTGAGGGTCGGATCAAAGCTGGTCGAGAGGCTATAGCTAGGGCGTTCACAATACAGCAACAACAAGAACTAGGGCGTTCATACTACTGCAATATCCAGACCTATAGCAAAGGCTTTCACAACACATCAATCTCTGGCTATACTGCTTTTGCACACAATAAAATCACGTTTTTAACGCGACTGGATTAATTTTTGTAATATTTTATCCTTCTGTTTTACTCATTTAAAACACGATTGATATTGATGATTTATCGATGAACATCATATAAGAAGTGGTTAGTCGACCACCAGCTGGTGTAACAAATGTGAATACCTCTGACTTGAGGGTGCTTAGATTATCCCCTCCCCCACCCTCTCCCCTCTCACAAATCTACTGTTAAAAATAACCTGGTTGTCTTCTTTATTACCTCTATGGACTCTAGCGCTATTTTGGTGTGTCTTCATCATCTCTGGACTCCAGTGTGAAAGACACACTGTTTGCGCCCCTAACTTAAAACTCAGTCTGAACGACGCCCTGTTGCCCCCTGATAAAAAACACACCGTCTTATGACGCCGTGTTTGTTCCTCCCATAGATCCTACAAGATGGCCACCGGTATCCCCAGCTACAAGGTGATCCTACACGGCGAGTACGGCGTGGGCAAGAGCTCCATCTTCAGGAGGTTCATGAACAACTCCTTCACCACGGCCACCGGCAAACAGTCGTCTATAGGCCTGGACCAGTGCACAAGGACCATCAACCTCGGCTCCCAGGATGTTAAGGTAGGTCATTAGGTCATGTGGAGGTCAGCTAGTACTGACCAGTGCACCTAGACTATTAACCTTGTCTCACAAGATGTTAAGGTAGGTCTATTAGGTCAGCTGGTTATTATTGGCCACTGACCAGGACTGGCATCTTGTCTTGGTAAATCCATTGAGCATCATTTACAGGAGAACATAGTATAATGCAGAACTAGACTTTTTAATGTAAACATAGTCATTGACCAGCGCCCCTAGATTTTGATAGTAGGCCTTGAGGAGAAGCCTACATTCAATATTTTATGTTTTTAAATTAAACACTTAATTTAATCATCAGTTCATACAAGTTAATTTATTATTTCTAACCTGCATGAGCACTACTGTTGTTTCATGATATTCATCATATCCTTAAGACAACGCTTTAAATAACTGGAATTTTTCCTGTGTTTCAGCTGACCCTGTGGGACACAGGTGGCATGGAGCGCATGTCTTTCATTGGCTCCAGCTACTACAGGGGCGCCCACGCCGCCCTCCTCTGCTACAGCGTCAACAACAAGGACACCTTCACCATCCTCTCCCAGTACATCCTCGACATCGTCATGAACGCCGAGGGCGCCAAAATATTCCTCTGTGGGAACATGTCCGACCAGGTGCCGGCAGACGGCAGTGGGAACGTCGTGACAGAGACGGACCTGGAGCAGTTCATGTCACAGTGTCAGGACGTGCTGTCTGGCGTGTACAGGGTCTCGTGTAAGGACTGTCTGGGGCTGGAGGACATGTTTCAGGACATGGCCCGAGTCCTGCATCAGGAGTCTGTTTCCCGCATGACGATGCGCAGGGACCTGGTGCGCCCAGGTGAAACACCAGACAGAGAGGTGGTGCCTGAGAAACGCAGGTGCTGCTGATGCTGCCGACTGGACTAGAACAGACTTTAAGAGATTACGTAATACACATCTGGTCATGTGTAAGCAGAATATGGTGATGTATCATCACGATGTCACCTCTTTATACTACACATCATGATGTGTGATCATCATTATGTGTGATCAGTAGCTTGAGCTGATCTCTGTGCCAGCTTTGCTGGAGCCAGAACGACACTTTAAAGACTTTTGGTGCCAGATGTGGCTCGGTGCTGCTGGAAAAATTACCTGGGACCAACATTGGGCCAATCTTGGGCCAACATTGGTTACTTCACACAAACAAGATGCACTAATAAATTTTGGTGCTCCATATCAAAAGAAAAGAATTTTTTGCTCATACACTATAGTACTTCGTAGAAAAATGTATCCTTTAAAGCAATTGTTTTGTGGGAAAATGTTTATGAAGTCTAAATAATTTTCATTATTCACAAAAAAGTTTTAGTTTGCCACATACATTTATAACTGAAACAAGGTTATTGGCTGTTATTACAAAATATTTATCTGACATGGAAAAATTTCTAAGCCTATAATAGTATAGAGAAACAGAAAGTAGAGCAATGTTGAGAGCTTTCATAAGTCAGAGAGTTAACCAGCAAAAATCTGGCAGCAATTTTTTTAATGTGATGTTGTCATTGAATCTAACAGTGCAGCTATATATATCACAGCTGGGCACCTTCACCAGCTACCAGCTATGTAGCAGCTGTAACCAATCAGCTTTTACTGGGTATATCAGGTCTATCATGGCCACTGAGTCCTATCTTGTAGCTTGTGATCAGGTGGTTTGTAACTTTTATCTTTTTATTTTGTGTTTCTCTATGCCCATTCTCCATTGAACTTTACATTAGTGGGTAAATTAATTTTCACTAACTTAGTAGAAGCTGGAAACAAAAAAAAAATAAAATTATATTTAATTAAATTGTAATTTTGATATATTTTAGAATTAATGTTTTAAATTTTTTTTTCACATTTGATTTAAAAAGAGATTGGTTTAAACACATTTTATTTAATTTATTTATCAATGGGATGATGAATTAGAATGGAAGGTGTTCCAGCTTTGAAGATTGTGACACATGTACCTGACATTATTCTCAGTGTATGATAGGCTCATGTAAGCATTGTAACGTGCCCCTTTGAGATTTATTTATTCATTATAAATAATAGTCTTGTATTTATTTTGTGAATGTTAAGTGTTTTTTATTGCATTAATAGTACACCAAATATTTTAAGTTTCCAGATACTTCGTGCTAAAGTAAAAGTTACCCATGTGAACCTCATGGTCTGTAAGGCAGATGAAGTAGAGTTTCTGTTTCTGTGACCTTGACAAAAGAAGAATACTATGGTCACTAATGTGGCCAGCCATCTTACATTTTCCCTATCAATGGGTGAACTTAGGGATGCTATACACATGCAAGTCTGATATTAGAACATGAAACTTTTGGGTTAGCAGTCAAGTGCTCTACCCCCAGACCGCACCATCCCATTGGTGCTGAGTATCAAGTAGATTTGATGCCATACATAACTTTATCCTAACAGTATATGACACCGTGGATTAACATTGAATATGCCTGTTGTATATTTTTAAAAAGTAATTTCATCATCATCCATATCCATTCATGACTAAGACACATGGGACAGATGAAGTAGAGTTCATCTGTTCCAACGACTTCTGTATACATGGGGATATTGTTGTCAGCACTATGCACAGCCGCCTTAGTTTTCCTAATGTGAGTCAGGTGTCCATCAGAATTGGGTGGACTAAGTGATGTCCAACATACCCAAGCCTATGATCCGAACTTGAGATTTCTGATTACCAGTCAGAGGCTCTACCATTTGACCACTCTGTCCCGTAAAAGAAACTGTTAATAAAATAGTGGTATATAAACGTGATTCAGTTACTGTTTGATTGTGCCATGTTTTGTGGTGTAGAGTGTGAGGTGGTTGTCCATAAAAAGACAAATGGTCAAATATTTGAATCCTTTACTTCAGTTGAAACTAGTTAAAATTTTGTCCAACTTTTGAATTACAAATGTTTCAAAATATAGTTATTAAAAATGTGGATTTAAAATAAGCTTAAGAATGAGGTATCACATTTTTTCTTGTTGATTTTATTGCTCCAATCTCATGCTGGCCATTTGTTGCTTTGTTTACTTCAGACTGTTTCCTCTTACATTATGAACTACCTGGTGCCTTCAAGCCTAGCAGTTTTTTTTGTTCTCGCAAGACAGTTAAGACAGGCATGATCTTTGTAGATGATTCCTTTTTTTTAACCAAATTTTAAATTTAATTATTCTTTTTAAGACAAAAAAATAATATATTTTATAATGTGGCTTGTAACATCTTTGTGCTGGATTAAACAAAAATGTACCCTGGTTCTGAGGTTTAAATTTAAATCTATGCAAGGGGAGATAACAAAAACTTTTCTTTAAATTTATTTAGAAACTTTTTGCTTGCTATTTTTCTTCCATGCTTGTTATTTCTTTAATTTATGAGGTCTAATGTTTTTTATTTTTGTTTAATTTCTTTCAGTTTTTTTTGGTCAGAAAGTTTAACATTTTAGCTATACATTTTTTGTTTAATTACATGAAGTCTGGACATGTCAGGGCATAAAAAAAATCACCCATTTTTATACCACTCGGAGTGTCTGACCACACAGGGGCAGAACATTACCCCCCCCCCATAATTTCTCCATGGATCAATGTACATTACCCCTCAGCCCAAAAACTGCAGTCAAACATTACCCCCTGTCAATTACCCCACCCCTTGACCATTTGGATATAAATATGGTTGGGGATAGGCTATGGCTATGGATGCATTAGAGATACGGTCAACATTTGAAATAAGGATATGGCGATTGGGATAGGAATGAGTAGGGGTTATAGATATAGTTAGGGATAAGGCTGTGGATAAGGTTAGGGATATGAAAGAAACTGAACTTGGAGATGGATAAACATAGCTATAATATGTATTATAAAGTGGAAGGGGTGGGGGTAATTGATCTATAGATTAATGACTGGGGGGGGGGGGGGCTAAAGTCCAGTGTTTCTTCCAGACTTCGGGGGGGGGGGGGGCACTTGAAATTTTTAGGGGGATGGGACGACGACACTGTTAAAAGTATATATTTTCTATATAAATTTCCTATCATTCGGGGGGCGGTAGATTTTCTTCAGGGGGGCTCTGAAGAGATGCTTGGAAGAAACTCTGGTAAAGTCCGAAACCCTGACCACAGACTGTCTAACTAATCACTGTTTATATTTCTGTAAATCTAAATTGTAAATACATTTGTATATTTTATTTAGATTTCTATAGATTTTTTTTCTAATTGTAAAAATCACATTTAAACCAAAACGCTTATTGTTTTGGTAGTCTAGAATTTATTTGATCAAATTTGCAAAGGTGTTGGCAACTGTATTATTTTAAACGGTATCAACAAAATGTTTTGATACATTAAATACTATCTTTAAGCAAATACAAAATCTCTTAAAACATATTATTTAGAAATAATAAATATTTTAAAACTTAATGCATATTATAAAATTTTAAAAATAATTTTATAACATCTTTCATTTTTGAAGGATACATTTTAATAATACATGTTGAAATTTTAAGCAATAAAAATGTCTTATAATATGTTTTTAAATGTTCTCTATCATGCAATAAAATTCTTCTAAAATAAAATAAATTCAAATCTATTGATTTCATTGTTTTATTTTGTATAAAATATTCTAGATATTAAACAGATGGATTTACTTAGTGATTTGCCAGTTTAATGTTTGGTTTGGTAATTAGAGTGACCTAACTTTGTCAAGAACATCAGCCATAACAGTAGGGTAGCCAATAGGATTTTCGAATAGATCTATATTTACGACAGTATGGGTGTAGGCACTAGTGTATTATTATATTGTTTAAATATTGTGAATTTTCTAACGATTTCGAGAGCGGCTAAATCCCGCCAACACGTGTGATTCACACATCATGATGTCAGATGTTTGGCACAGGTTTACTGAATATTTTCAAATCTTTTTGGTGGAGCAAGTCTTAAGATCAACTGAAGTTGGGTCACACATTGGTCTAAAAATAAACAAAGAAAAGACCAATAGAAAATATTAAAATTATGAAAGTAAATTAGAACAAGTTTTCAATATTCTAAAATTATTTTTTTTTCTCTGCTCAATGTTATAAATATTCTGCTTTACTGTAAAACATGTGTATTTCATTAATTTATAAACACAGTACTTACCGTAAAATGGTGGTGATAGTTTAAAGTGAACAAACATCAGATAAATGATTGTACTCAAGGCTAAAGCCCCGCCTCCAAAATACACGAACTCTATCTGTGGGTTTATGGCCAAAGGGGCGATAAACAAGTAAATGTTCAGTAGGAACATTAGCACTGGTATGAGTAGTGGAACCTGAATTGAGTTTTTTGTAGAAAAGTATTACGTTTAAGATATTTATACTTTTTTTTTCCGTTACAGTAAACCATAAATATATATATATATATATATATATATATATATATATATATATATATATATATATATATATATATATATATATATATATAACTTGTATAAATCAATATAACACATTGATAAACCAATAATGTACCCTTTGCACTTAAAGCACATCTTAAAGAACATTGTCGATAATGATTAATTACAACATGAGTGGGATGCGTCTCATTTGCAATATCTCTCCTTCTTCTTCTTATTCCTTCTTAATTTTAGCGTTGAAAGGGATACGTGTCAACTGATTATGCGCCATTGCGGCCATTAACTCCAATTTCAGCCTGCTTTTCTTTTTGGCTTTGCTTCCATAGCCTTTGTCCAACCAAGAACAAACTACAAGGCAGCAGATGTTTAATTTTGGAGTTGTCTATCCTAGAAGAGTGGCTGTCCCCAGGTAACGAGCGATAGGGTTCGAACTTTAGACTTTTCGCTTTTACAACCATGAGCTTTACCGACTCGACCACGCCGACCCCTCTAATGTGCACTGCCTTTAAGTCCACTCTCCCCATGTCTACTAGTGTGTACAGTACACGTGTACTCTTATATTACCTAACGCTACTATTAATTACCGTCTTACCTTGATTACCCTCTTCACATTTTTGAAGGTTTTAAACCTGAAGATAATTAAAGCTAAATAAACCCCAGCATTGTACAGTGAGTTGAGAAAACTTGAGTAGTTGATCAATGTTCCCACATCACCGTATATCATAAATAGCAAAGCCATGATTACCTGAGTAAATATTTTAGATGTATATATATATATATATATAATATAATATTATATATATATATATATATATATATATATATATATATATATATATATATATATATATATATATATATATATATATATATATCAGTATATACATATATATATGAATGAGTATATACATATATATATATATATATATATATATATATATATATATATATATATATATATATATATATATATATATATGAATGAGTATATATATATATATATATATATATATATATATATATATATATATATATATATATATATATATATATTAATACATATATATATATATATATATATATATATATATATATATATATATATATATATATATATATATATATATATATATAAATATAAATATAAATATATATATATATATATATATATATATATATATATATATATATATATATATATATATATATGAATGAGTATATATATATATATATATATATATATATATATATATATATATATATATATATATATATATATATATATATATATATATATATATGAATATATATAATACGAGAAAAATGGCCCGTTGAGGAAGGGTACAACGGGCGCTAGGCTGATAGTGCTGTCTCTTTTCTCTAAACTAAAACCAACCGGGGAGGAAAAAGTCTGAAAGAAACACTGAAACCAACCCACCCCCCACACACCACCCCCCACCCCCCACCCCCCCCACCCCCACACACCAATTGTATGAAAGAAACTCTTCACGCAAACCATTAAGATTAGACAACATTTCCTTTTTATTCAATGTTTACGCGATAATCAATGACGTCATATAACTGTGAGCACTCTCTGGGTTTGAGATTATTTTCTACTCTGTGCTAAATGTGTCGACGTCATACTTCGTTTTTCGAAATACTATGCATGTTTTTAAATTCCTTGTGTTTTCTCTAGAGCGTTCTTGTCAGACAGATAGATACATAGAGAGACAGCGAAACTATTAGTATTAATATATATATAATTCATATATATATATATATATATATATATATATATATATATATATATATTTCTGAATGATTATTTTTATATTCATATGCATATGCGAATAAAAACAAAGGCTGGAAAAATCTGTATAAAGTTTTGCGTAACGTTACCAATGACGTCATGGAGTTGAGTGGCACTAGCCGGTCCACCTGGATGTAGCTGAGGAAATCTGGCAAGTTCCCGTCTCTTGCCGCGGTGAAGGTCATTCTGGTGGTGGTACATAACTTTGTTGTGAGTTATTCATAACGTTGTAGTGAGTTGTTCATAATATTGTTGTGAGTTGTTTATAACTTTGATGTGAGTTGTTCATAACTTGTGAGTTGTTCATAACTTTGTTGTAGTGAGTTGTTCATAGCGGTAAAGGTCGTACTAATTTGTGAAGATTTAAGTTTGTGGAGTTTGCTTAGTGTGAAAGCCATATATACTAATAGTTCCGAGTGTAGATGACATTATAATAACTGCTTCTTATGGTGACGTCATTCCAGTGTCAGATAGAGGTACCTGCCTGTGTTTGATCACGTGACTGACCTGCCTGTGTTTGATCACGTGACTGACCTGCCTGTGTTGGATCACGTGACTGACCTGCCTGTGTTGGATCACGTGACTGACCTGCCTGTGTTGGATCACGTGACTGACGACTGACCTGCCTGTGTTGGATCACGTGACTGACCTGCCTGTGTTGGATCACGTGACTGACCTGCCTGTGTTGGATCACGTGACTGACCTGCTTATGTTGGATCACGTGACTGACCTGCTTATGTTGGATCACGTGACTGACCTGCCTGTGTTGGATCACGTGACTGACCTGCCTGTGTTGGATCACGTGTCTTACCTGCCTGTGTTGGATCACGTGTCTGACCTGCCTGTGTTGGATCATGTGTCTGACCTGCTTGTGTTGGATCACGTGACAGACATGCCTGTGTTGGATCACGTGACTGACCTGCCTGTGTTGGATCACGTGACTGACCTGCCTGTGTTGGATCACGTGACTGACCTGCCTGTGTTGGATCACGTGACTGACCTGCTTGTGTTGGATCACGTGACTGACCTGCTTGTGTTGGATCACGTGACTGACCTGTCTGAGTTGGATCACGTGACTGACCTGCCTGTGTTGGATCACGTGACTGACCTGCTTGTGTTGGATCACGGGACTGGCGTGAGTTAGATCACGTGACTGACCTGCTTGTATTGATCACGTTATTGTTCCCTATCCCGAGGGTGGAGACGACGACAGCCAGGGGAACGATAAGAGCGGCCACACCCAACGTCCTCTCGGCAAACAGCTGGGGACATTAGGGTAGGAGTTTAACAACTGTGTGAGGACAAGGTTTAACATCAGTTCTGTCAAAATGACTGTTTAATAAAGAGGAATAAGCTCTCTCTATACCCAGCAACACCATGCCAAGTGTGAAATTTTATAAATAAACTGAAGGACCAAACATATATTATCCATCTCAATTTATTATATATTAATAAATTGTTTGTAACCAAATAATAATACAATAATTCTTGTCATTAAAAGATCCACCCAAACAAAAAAAAAACAACAAAAAAAAAAAAAAAAAAAAAAAAAAAAAAAAAAAAAAAAAAAAAAAAAAAAAAAAAAAAAAACCAACATGAGCAAATCAGTTAACACACACATACACTAAAATACACAGCCATCAACAAGAACCACATTCAAATATATTAGATAGCAAAAAATACTGAACAGCATGTTAACAAGTTATTGAGTGAACAAATGAAACAAACAAGCATCAAACATATTAAGACACTAACGAACACAACAAAGAAGCGAATAAACAAACAAGCTAGGAAACAATCAAACAGAGAAAAAAAAAAACAAATCACACAAACAACAAACGAAACAAACAAATACACAAACATCAACTTACAACACCAACTTACAACACCAACTTACAACACCAACTTACAACACCAACTTACAACACCAACTTACAACACCAACTTACAACACCAACTTACAACACCAACTTACACCAACTTACAACACCAACATACAACACCAACATACAACACCAACTTACAACACCAACTTACAACACCTACAACACCAACTTACAACACAAACACCAACAACACCAACAACACCTATAACACTAACTTACAACACCAACAACACCAACTTACAACACCAACTTACAACACCAACAACACCAACTTACAACACCAACTTACAACACCAACTTACAACACCAACTTACACCAACATATACACCAACATTCAACATTTACTTACAACACCAACTTACAACACCAACTTACAACACCAACTTACAACACCAACATACAACACCAACTTACAACACCAACTTACAACACCAACTTACAACACCAACAGCCGGCGCGGCAATCATCTCCGCTCTGGTCATGACGGCCAGGTAAGCGATGTTGGTCAACAGGTAGACGATGACCACAGTGATGACGCCAAGGATAAGCGCACGTGGCACGTTTCTAGGGGGGGGGGGGGGCAGATTCAAAGTTTGGAGTGTCAGAAATTTTGGGGGTGTTACAAAGTTTGGTGTGCCATAAACCCAGTATTGGTAAAGACAATATCCTCTCTGTAAACATCATGGGGATAAAATGGAAGAAAAAACTGTATTTTCAACTCCATATTTTATTATTTCATTAAAAAAAAAAAAAACAACAACGAAAAAATTGAACAAATTTTGGAACTTAGCAATAATTTAGCTCTTCAAATCTTCAAATGAACAATGTTTACATTTCAGTTTGGTTTACATTGACTCAAAGTTTTTTTTAACAGAAAAAATGGCTCTATCAATTTTATGAAAAAAACAAAACAAACAAGGGTGATAACTTACTTAGAGGGATTTTTGATCTCCTCTATGACGTTATTCACCTCAGCTCTATTGAAGCAAGTCAAAATAAAACATAAAAAAAGAAAAACATGAAAAAGAAAACATAAAAAAGAAAACAATCAAGTCATTAATATGTGGTCATTGTCTTCGCTAGTAGTTTATACGTTAATTTTCAACAGATTTAATCTAAAACATACCTACGTCTAACGATCCACAGTTTTACATAAGATGTTTACATATTCCTTTGGTGGCCCACAAAATGTCCCCCCCCCCCCCCCCAAAGACCTACCCAAATTCCCCCCACTGACCTACCCAAAATGTCCCCACCACTGACCTACCCTCCTCTCGTGGCGAACATGGCACTGTACAAAGCCAGCGCCAATGACGACACTTCCGTTGAGGAGTCCTGGAACCCAGTGCCTAGCTCGCTCGTCACACCTGCAGGACAGGTGGAGTTCTTGAGACTTATGACCTATCTATGATGACCTACTTTGGGAAATGACCTACATTGTGTGGTGACCTACATTGTGCGATGACCTATATTGTGAGATGACCTATATTGTGAGACGCCCTACTTATTATGACATACATTTGAGGACCTCACTGGTGAGATGACCTACCTATGATGACCTACCTAATGAGATGACCTACATGTGAAATGACCTACCTATGATGACCTAATTTCTGAGATGACCTCCCTATGATGACCTACCTTCTGAGATGACCTACCTTGTGAGATGGCCACAAGACCTGCCACTATGATGACCCCCAGTGCCAACAGTTTACACAGTGTGGTGACCTTGGCTACCTGAGCCCCGTAGCGTGTCCCGCAGCAGTTGACCAGGTACAACGTTACTGTCAGGTAGAAAATACAAGTTTTGTGTTTAGTGTATTGTACAATAGAACTCGTACGGTTGAAAACAAAATTTCTCCCTTAAATTAATACATCCCTCTGCCTGATACGTAAACCTGGTAATGCATTTAAAGAATAATATTTTCAAGTGAGTATTTATCATGTTTTAAATATTATACAAATACTTTTAAAAAATTGTGATGAAAATGAATGTATTAATCTAGTAATGTAACGGGTTTGCTAAATTTTCTAGCATTAAAATTAAATAGCTATTAAGTTTACGTACAAAGGGAAACTACTCAATTAATATTTTCGGCAAAACCATCCTACCCTGGTTAAATCCCCTTACGAAAATGAAGTTAAAATGAGGGTTGGGGTTCATCCATAAATGACGTCACGCTTTTTTGGACGATTTTTACCTCCACCCCTCCCCTCCGTCACACGTCGTCACAAAAAAAGCCAGACCCCCCCCCCTAAAATGACGTTACACCTCAGCCTACAACCCCCCCCCCCCCCCTCAAAATTGCTGTTGAATTTTTCTTAAAACATAGATATTTTTCCAAAATCTTGTCAGAACTCGTTTTCTAACATTGCTTTTTTTTATAATGAAAAAGCGTGACGTCACACCATCTGAAACCCCCCCCCCCCCTTCCCCCCTCATCACACACCTCCCCCTACGAGTGTGACATCATTTATGGACGACCCTTTGGGTGTGTCGGCGAAAGTTTGACGTCCAAGTTTTTGTGAAGATGTGTGACGATGGGGTGGCGGAAATGGGTAAAAATTCGTCAAAACAGCATAACTTCGATAATGGACGACCCCGTAAGTGAATTATCAACGTAACTTGATAAGCTAGAAAACCATTTTTATTAAATAAATAAATAAAGGCTAGTTATAAACGTCAGCCATTCTAATCATCGTTATGCAGTTTCCTCCACAACCCTCACAATTCGATCGAAGCAAAAGTGGGTAACACGGTGCCACTTTTGGGGTTTGCTACACTTCCTCTAATTTTCAATCGTGGCGAACCAAAAGACAGATCTTTGAAATAACAGGGTGCTTTTTAAAGCCAGATTAGTATTGGTGCAAAATGCTATTAATTCGTTATATGACACTGAATCTATGAAAAAAAACAAAAAACAAAAAAAAACAACAAAAAAAAAAAAACAACAAAAACAACAACAACAAAACCAATGATATGGCTACAATCTACAGTAGTAGCGGTAAGAAAAAAAGTAAAACAACGCTTTTTCAGTCTTATTTCTAAAACACTTCCTAAAGCAGTTCCTTCCAGCAAGAAGCAGAGCCCCAGGAAGAAAGTTTACCGCCCCCCACCTTCCGAAATTTTTTAAATTTCAGGGTACCCCCCCCCCCCCCGGAGAAAAAAGTCTAGAAGAAACACTGCTGCTAAGTGATGATCTAATTTAGCGAAATTCTTTAGCATTGCACAGTTTATATTTCATTATTGTGGATATTATTTAGCATTGCTCAGTTTATATTTCATTATTGTAGATATTATTTAGCATTGCTCAGTTTATATTTCATTATTGTAGATATTATTTAGCATTGCCCAGTTTTTATTTCATTATTGTGGATATTATTTAGCATTGCTCAGTTTTTATTTCATTATTGTGGATATTATTTAGCATTGCTCAGTTTATATTTCATTATTGTAGATATTATTTAGCATTGCTCAGTTTTTATTTCATTATTGTGGATATTATTTAGCATTGCTCAGTTTATATTTCATTATTGTAGATATTATTTAGCATTGCTCAGTTTATATTTCATTATTGTAGATATTATTTAGCATTGCTCAGTTTTTATTTCATTATTGTGGATATTATTTAGCATTGCTCAGTTTTTATTTCATTATTGTGGATATTATTTAGCATTGCTCAGTTTTTATTTCATTATTGTGGATATTATTTAGCATTGCTCAGTTTTTATTTCATTATTGTGGATATTATTTAGCATTGCTCAGTTTTTATTTCATTATTGTGGATATTATTTAGCATTGCTCAGTTTTTATTTCATTATTGTGGATATTATTTAGCATTGCTCAGTTTATATTTCATTATTGTGGATATTATTTAGCATCGCTCAGTTTATATTTCATTATTTGACAAACCCAACCCAGCAGCTGCGATGATTTTCTCCAGCTTCTGTGGGGAGCCGCAGATCGGGAGCAGGGTGACCAGGTACTTGGCGAAGGTGAGCATGAAGATCACCAGTGAACCAGGTCTCAACAGAAAGGTTGCCTGTTGATAGAAAAGTCATTCGTCTAAACAGTATCTAGTCTTATGATCGCGCTTTAGAGAAAATATTATACACCGTACATTTCGAGTAAAAATGCTGTTTAAAAAAAAGTTAAATTCATAATTTGTTTTAACCTTGGTATATAATTTGTAGTTTACATAGCTAAGTACCCATCAGAGCTAGATAGACTAGTAGATGGATTCAGCGACTGACTAAAACTCTAGATCAAACTCTCCAGGCGTATTCAGCTGAATGAGAAACCCGTCACCAATCCGTGGCATTAAAGAGCCACACTACGTCGTTTCAAAATTAAAATGTATGCAAATGTAAAGTAAAAAGATCAAGTTTTTTACCTGTAGGGCAAAAAGAAACGAAACGTAGTTGCCGAGGCCTAGCTGTAGATAGGTGTACATCCCACCTGATTTAGGTATCAGCGTGCCTAGCTCGGCAAAACACAGGGCGTCTGTGGCAAAAGGGGAATGGAGTCATGTGACATGACGGAAATAGGTATATACAGGTATGCTACAGAGGTGAGGTCATTCCAACCTCATATATAAATATATATATATATATATATATATATATATATATATATATATATATATATATATATATATATATATATATATATATATATATCAGGGACCTGTTTAAACAGTTGATGACTTAATGCACGAGCGTGTTTTTATACAACCGCCTAGTTATGATGTTAGGGGGAGGTTGTTATGACTACAGCTACAGAGTTTTTGGGATAGGCAAATGAAGAAGAGTTTAAATCTTTCTTGATCTCAGCAGATGTAGGGACGGTGTGGTCAGCGCTATGCCCAGCAGCCGCCATTATTTTCCCTAACGTGAATCATGTACCCTGGGTGAACTCTTGCAATCTTAAGTCTGGATCGAGATCCGACCTCGAGACCTACGGGTTAGTAGTCGAGGGCTCTATAACACGACCGCGTAGTCTAAGATTCCAGGGGCGGTGTTAGGGGAGGGTGATCTGGCCATAACTAGGGATTCTGTGGCCGTTTTAGTGTGTGTGTGTGTGGGGGGGGGGTAATTTGGTATGGCCACAACCTGCAACTAGGTTGCGACAATATCTCAGTCACTGTCGCTCAAAGGGACACAACTCACCATGTAACTTTATAAACCTAAGTAACCGTTTACTGCAAGCGAAGTAAGGCAGCTCACCCCCCAGACACGCCAGACCAGCGATGACCCACACTACCAGACACAGACCCACGGATCCGGTCGCTCTGATGACGCCTTTGGGCGACACGAAAATCCCAGCACCTGAAAGAGAGACAGGAAAACGTCACCGGATGTCACATCTGTTTGTTGTTACTTTTAGACTTTGGTGAGTTACGTAGTGGCGTCGATAGGTCGGGTGTCAACCGGTGCGGCACCTCATGGTGCCATCCCCTCCCCCTTTTTTTTCTCTGTAAATTTTGGAGTTGGTGTATCCCCCCCCTCCCTTTCACCCGGTAAAAGCTTTAAAGTGTTCACATTTAACACTCATGATGTTTAACTAGAGTCGGCTTTTAATACAGCTGGATGAAGCATGGTTTTCTATAGTTTGTATGTCTACATCATGGCGTCACACCTCCCCCAATCCCTTTGTCGGGATTGTCATGATGTACTTGATATACTTTTTAACTCTAGTTAACCATTCATCGAACTGGCAAAAAACATATTTATTCTAAATATCTTGTTTTTTGTGTGTCTATGTGTATCCCACCCCCCCCCCCGCCTAGCGGCGCCTCTGGAGTTACGTAAGTGTAATTCAACATGGAGTAGGTAATGCGTACAAAAAAGGCAGAGCAATATATGATTATAGACTATCTATATATATAATTATTTTCTGGGAGCCGTTAGAAAACAAGCTGCAAGCGCCTCCTTGCAGTCCCCTCTCTTTCTCTCTATCACTATCACTACCACCCCCACCCCACCCCCATATTGTCTGGTGAGCTGTTGTCACGCTAAATGTTTACAAAGCTAAATGTTTACAAATCGTAGAGCCGTAGATCCGGGTTTCTATTAGGGGCAGCTAATTTAGTTCGATTTTAAACTTTTAGGAGGTAACTAAGAAATAACTAAGAGGAGGCTGCTTTCACGGGGGGGGGGGGGGGGGGGGTGTAGGGTCGGGGTTAGGGGAAAGGGGGGGGGGGGGGTTAGTGTTTTAAAGCAAATATTTTCAGTGGCAGCATTGGTACTGTCGAATTCACAAATTATGAATTACTGAAAAGTAGAAAATAAAACAACTAAATAGCGGCGTATGATACGCCGCGGGTCGGCTCGTACTATATATCATTGATACTACCAATCGCTAAAAAATATATTGCGAACACGAATAAACATAGCCTTACAAACTTCTTCTTCTTCGTTCTTAATTGTTCTTATAGGCACGGGATTTCCTTTAACACAATTAAGTATTACGTGTCAAATTGTTAAGCGCCGTATAGGCCTTTGATAACGATTTCAGCCTGCTTTTGTTTTTGGATTTGCTTCCATAGCCTTTGTCCAACCAAGAACAAACAAGGCAGCAGTTGTTAGATTTTGGAGTTGTCTCTCCTAGATGGTTTTCTGCCGCCAGCTATCGAGCCTCATCTGCCTGGGGGTTTGAACTCGGTTTAGCAACCCTGAGCTTTACCGACCCGACCACGCCGACCGCTAACTTACTAACGATACTACCAGTAGCTGAAGAAATATAAAGCTAACATGCACGCACATAGCCTACATACTAATGATACTAGCAATCGGTAAAAATGATAAATCGTTAAAATCTTTGCACACAGCCTCTCTCCTATGATGCAAAAGTTTACTGAAAAAAAAAAACTGCAAACATGCATGCACACAGTCTTTTATTTATGATATAACTAATTGCTAAAATAGATATATCGCTAACATGCTTGAACATAGCCTACGTACCAATGATACTAACAGATATATCGCTAACATGCATGAACATAGCCTAAATACCAATGATACTACCAGATATATCGCTAACATGCATGGACATAGCCTACGTACCAATGATACTACCAGATATATCGCTAACATGCATGGACATAGCCTACGTACCAATGATACTACCAGATATATCGCTAACATGCATGAACATAGCCTACGTACCAATGATACTACCAGATATATCGCTAACATGCATGAACATAGCCTACGTACCAATGATACTACCAGATATATCGCTAACATACATGAACATAGCCTACGTACCAATGATACTACCAACATAGCCTACGTACCAATGATACTCCCAATTACCAGTGAAACGGCCTCTAGCAGACCAAGTTCCCTTTTCAACTGTACTTTGGTGTCCTGTTGTCGGTTATCTGCCATACTTAATTATTCTATCTTACAGAATTATCCTCTCTCTAACAAACACACAGAAGAATTAAAATTTGAATAAACCGAGATCTTAAATTGACGTAATAACAACGAGACAGCAAATGATTCAGAAAGTCAACTTGTTCTTGGCATACAAGTAATTAAAAAGATAATTAATTAAAACAATTGGTCCTGCGTGCTTGAAACCCTGGTAGAAAAAAGACTTAACGACATCATTTGCTATGCATGCCATGCTTTAACTTACTTTAAGCAGTGGTTCCAAAATGCTTGTCAAACAATCTTCCTTAAGGGGGTACGCTCTGGTAAAATAACATCTTCTTAATTAATAAGCCATATTTAATTATTTGTGTGTATCTATGTTAGGGTACTTAATAGAGAATATTTGAAAGCAACAGGGACTCTTCTGGAAGTATCGCTGCCATGGCAACGGCGGTCATCTTGAAAAAATCCAACTCTGATGGAGGTCTAAAGGTTAAAAATGAAACATATATATTCATCACATAATCGTTGATCCCTTTTTTTACTAGCTATAATATAATACTAGCATATATATATATATATATATATATATATATATATTTTTTTTTTTTAAAATTATTTATGTATATATATGAAATATTGCATCCTGACATAGAAGAAAAATAAGTAGGTTTTGTTGACTGGTAATTTTAGGTCAATCTATGCAAGCGATCTTTTACATGTAACACCTTAATATCCTGTCTGGTCTAGATCTAGAAGCTTAAAACATCAGCCGTTTGATTATTTATGCACGTTGTTTTAATATCACGTGTCGTAGGCTGTTTCGTCCCCAGGTGCACACTAACCTGTCTCGTCTGCAGGTGTACATCAATATGCGGATGGTCGATAGTGGGAGTGGGAGGAGCATGGGGGTTCAGACCTGAGAGCTGCTGCTAGAGACCCCTGTAAGTCTAGAACTACTCGCAAATGAGTTCAAGAGTAAAATAAAGCGGGAGTGATCTCCCCTAAACTTTCTGGTATCTTCTTATATAACAGTAGGGTGATGGCACTTCCGGGGCTATAGAAATGTTTTTAATTTTAACTTTTTATACTTAAATAAAAAAAATAGAGAGTAGAATCGTGCCGAAAAAAAGAATTGCGCAACAAATAAACAGTATTAGTATAAAAGAGTGGAAATTAGTAGTTTACCCTTTATTCCGTTCTTCGGAAATCATTCAAAATTTGACAAAAAAAAAAGAAAAAAAAAACTCAGCAAAGACAATCATATACCTATGTATGGAACTTTGTCTAGCTAACTGAAACAGTAATCACACTATTTGGTATTTTAGTATTTTTAGAAAACAGAAATAGAGGAACGTACCACTTCCGGACATCGGTAGTCAATCAAAAGTTTAAAGTATTCCAAGTTTAAGATTGTTTATATAAGATCATTTACGTATATGAAATTTTGCCAAAGTAACTGTAACAGTTTGCAAGTTATTGCGTTCCCACGGTTAAAAGAAAAATAACTCTTCCGATTATCGGAAATCGTGCACAGGCACACGCGGCTGTGCATAGTGGACAAAGTGCTGACCATATATATATATATATATATATATATATATATATATATATATATATATATATATATATATATATATATATATATGCGTATGTGTGTGTGTATTTGAGTATCAGTTATCCCGTCTGCTACTGGTATTTAATCCTACTAATCTTGTTCACCAGATGTCACTGACGAGCTATCACTCTACCCAACACGTGATTATCACCTCCAGCCAACAGCACCACAGAGTACGACAGATCCATGACGAGCTATCACTCTACCCAACACGTGATTATCACCTCCAGCCAACAGCACCACAGAGTACGACAGATCCGCTACAGCACAACATGAGCACAGAGCACGTAAGTTGGTTCACTAACTGTTTATGGTGATTTGAGTCGATTTTAGTGTGATGTTTATATATTTAAAACAGGCAACAAACTCTTTTAAAAAAATAAATATTTTTTTTTAAAGCTAACAGTAACGATAACAGTCTGTTAAAACAAAATAAAAACTCAATATAACCAAACCAAGCGAAAATAAACTAGCAAGCAGTTGGTCTCGACATGTATAAGTGTAATTCAAAGTATTTTAGACTTTTTTTTTTCAAAATTTTTTTTTTTTTAAATTTTTTTTTTATTGTTTTAAAGTCAAAACATGAAGTTTTAGAAAACATTAAGTTTTAGACATGACATCATGATAGTTAATTAGACGCTACATTTTTTAGACTTTTCACAAGCAATATTTTAATATTATTAAATTTTAGAATTTTTAGTCAAGTAATTGAACATTTTTTAGAGGAGGAAATCAAGCACTGAGGTGGGGGTAGAGAAGGTGGAACTGAAACGACAGATGGGTCTGGTGGTCGCTGCGTCTTTTGCTGTGGGGTCCATCATCGGTAGGTCGGTTACGGGGGATAAGGTGTGTATCATACACCTGGTTGATATACGTTATATCATAGTTATTCTTAGATGTTATAACACATTTTTAATTTAACTTGTGACTAAAGTATTGTAATGTTGACTTAGAGTTTTAATATTCCATTTAAACATGTGAGGAAAATATTATTTAAAAAAATACTCTTATACGATTGCAAATGTTTGTAAGTGTGTGAAATATAATTGATTTGAAGTTTAGACACACGATAAGGATCCTCAATCAGTTTCGCGTAGTCTTGTAGACAGAGGTTTTTCTATAACTAAACTGAAAAGGCGTAAGATAATATTTTTGAAAATATCAATTTTTGGTTATAGATTAATTTAAATAGATGCTTTCAAAAGTTGAAAACGATGGAAAGCAGAGTTTTTACCTAAATCAATTTAAATTTTAAAATGTATTTCCCCCACCCAGGTTCTGGTATCTTTATCTCACCTAAAGGCGTGCTGGCAGCGTCAGGCTCTGTGGGTCTGTGTTTGGTCGTCTGGGTGGTGGCTGGAGTCATCTCCCTTGGCAGTAAGTTATCTCCCCTTAATTACCAAATTTAATTATTTTCAACAAAATAGATACTTTAAAAAAAATTGACATTGCAATAAAATCAAGTTTCAAGTAAAAACAAAACAAAGAAACAAAAAACGAATTGTAAAAAAGAAATTTTATATATTAGTTTAATAAATCTTTTAAAGCTGTGTTAAAAGCGTAGCACGTCTGTTCTATCGGCAGGTGCACTGTGCTACGCTGAACTCGGCTCGATGATTGGCAAATCTGGCGGTGCTTACACTTACCTTCGTATGGGCTTGGGGAATCAAGTGGCGTTTGTCTACGCTTTATTTGTGATTATTTTTCTGATCTAATTCCTAATTTGATGTTAACAAGTCATTTATTTTAATGGATTCAAGTTTAATTTTTTAGAAACTATTTATTTTTCGTTGCAGATTTCTTATTTAAAAATTTCTCAGTAGTATTTTAATTATTTCTTATATCAATTTTTTAAAAACTTCTTAATGGTCATTTTAACACAATTCAAATTTTAGTTATATTTCTTTCACGTCGAAATTAATAGACGCATACTTTTTAGCAAATTTAGTAAATTTTTAAAATGAGAAGTTTTGATGTAAAGTTGATGGGTTTGAAATTAGTTCTACTAATTTTTTTTTGTTTGAAGCTGATAGTTTAAAAACATTTAATGACCTTTTTTTAAAAGTTCGTATAAGTTATTATTACTTAATTCTACTTTTCAGTTAGTATGATTAATGTTATTTTATTGAACTTTCTTTGTTTAAAGTTGTTGGGTTTAAAGTTAGTTTCTTCGTTGTTTGAAGTTAGTAGGCCCTATATTTCAAGAAGGACGATGCATGATATTTTACAATGTTTTCTGGTTTAGAAAGCTATGCGTGCAGGTTATGTTATGAACGCATGTCACTTCTCCATGCAGATGGTTTGCATCAGAGCACCTGCAACTCTGGTCGTCATGTTGCTCACCTTCTCCAAGTACCTGGTCGCTCTGCTCCCCACCTGTGGCACACCTGTGCACCTGGAGAAGCTCCTGGCTGCCACGGCTTTAGGTCAGGCTTTTACCTACGTGGGGGTGGGGATTTGGGGAACTGGGGTGAGGTTAAAAATAATTGTGACACATAATCGGAGATTTATTTCCATATCTACTTTGATATAAATACGATTGTAAAGCAATTTTTTTTAATATCGTGAAATATGGGTCACTCGACATAATATGGTTATAAATAATATGAACCTATTTATTAGACCAACGTTTTGGACCAAAACAAATGCTTCGAATAGTTATAGAACAAACCGGCCCGACCCCCCCCCCCCCCTTCGCCCCGACCCCCCTTCGCCCCAACCCCCCCCCCCCCTCGTGGTGTTCGAGGTTTATTTTGATTGACACACCGGCATTAGAGTCGCGTTCAGTTGTTGGGATGTTGCCGCAGCACAATCATGACTAATAAAGGCTGAATCACGTGACCTAATTAACGGGATTTGTAAGGTTACATAAAACTTGACAGTGTTCTGACTATTCGCTTTGTTAAAATTTTACATCTGTCCGCAACAGCTGGAGGTGACAGTGGAAAAATAGTTTTTAAAATTAATGTATAGTTTTTGTTTCAAACGTGAGGTGTTAATTACCTTTTCGGACCTGGGGTTAAAATGGGGCAGATGAAGTAGAGCTCATTTGTTTGTGCGCCCTCAGGATGAAAATAAAACTATAAGTGGTTAGTTCTTTGCCCAGCCGCCTTTACCTTCTCTGATTTGAGTTAAGTACCCGTTTTAGCTGGGTGGACTCAGGGACGTCGCTTGATCTGAACTCGAGACTTTCGGGTTAGTGGTCCCTCAAAATATGCTACATATAAAATGTCTATTTTTCTATAAGTCAGTAGAGAATAATTGAGTCAAAAAAAGGCAATAATTAAAATGGAGTTGCCTTCAAATGCTGACCGAAGCGAAATTTTTTGTACAGCGTGATATGAGAGAAGGGGGGGGGGGACGAGTTAGCAAATAAAACCTGTTAAAAAAGACTCAAACATGTAAAATTATCATTCATTCGGCTCAAGCGTATTACTGCATTTATGTTAGTCCCTTGATATATTAACGCATTAAAAATAGTTTATTCATTTACCAAATAAGAGAAATATTTATCATGTGATGGAGTAATGAAGAAAAGAAAAATGGCACGAAATTTAATGAAAATAATTATTACGGATGCAGTCCAATTTTACTGTGACGATTACCAAACAAATTCTAAGTTGCCTGGTCTTTAGCAGTAGACTTAACAAAAATGTCCATGCGGTCGTCTTTTTATCACTCAATTTTGTACTCATCCATCGCTGACCCTGTAACCATGGTAACGCTGATCTTGTATCCATAGTGACGCTAGTCCTGATCAACGGCTTCAGCACGCGTCAAGCCACAAACGTGACGGTGCTGACGACGGTGTGTAAAGTGGCGACACTTCTGATCATCATTGTTGGTGGCGTCGTGGTCATGTGTCAAGGTAGGGCCAGGTGTCCAGGTGTCTGTACTATGTTCACCTGTGTCAATGTAGGGCCAGGTGTCCGCGTGGCCGTG